GGCTCCACACCCTTTCGAGGTGTGGACTGATCACAGGAACTTGGAGGCCTTGCAAACGCCCTGTAAACTAACACCCAAACAGAGGAGGTGGGCCAAGGATTTTTACAAGCATCGGTTTAAACTAAAATTTTTCCCAGGCCACCAAAATATATTGGCTGATGCACTGTCCAGGTTGCCACAGCATGCGGGGAAGGATGTAACTCCACTTGAAACTATCTTTTCCCCTGAACAGTTGGGCCTTTCCGTGATCACTTGCAGCAAGGCCAAGGCTTTGGCTCAACCCCCTCTACAGGCTAAGTCTCAAATTCCGTTGGATGACATTCTGCTAAAAATCCAGCAGGTGGCAGAGACAGATGACTGGCTCCTACATCATAAAGACCTGTTATCTCAAAATGCTCAGGGCATGTGGGTTAGAAAGTCAAAGATTTATGTTCCCGCCGCCATGAGAGAAGACATTCTGAAGCTATGCCATGATTCCAAAGCTGCTGGGCATTGGGGATACCTGAAAACTTGGCACAAGATACGCAACACCTATTGGTGGGAAGGTGTGCGTGCTGACGTGGAGGCTTATGTCAGGGGCTGTCCTGTTTGTGCAAGAGCCAAGCCTATAGTGGGCAAGCCTAGGGGGTTGCTTCAACCTTTGCCCACTCCTGAAGGGCCTTGGAAGCACATTGCATGGACTTTATAATGGATTTGCCACCTAGCAAGGGCCGGGACACCATTTGGGTGATAGTTGACCTGTTTTCTGAACAGGCTCATTATGTGGCTTGCAAGGGAATGCCCTCTGCCCCTAAACTGGCTGATTTGTTTGTTGCCCACGTCTACAAATACCACGGACTGCCAGACAAAATTGTCTTGGATCGGGGGAGCACGTTCACCTCAAAGTTTTGGAAGGTGTTACAGACAAAATTGGGGGTCCAATTAGCGCTCAGCACAGCTTTTCATCCTGAATTGGACGGGCAATGTGAGAAAACTAACATAGCTCTGGAAAGATACTTGCGCTCTTATACCAGTTACCTACAGGATGATTGGTTTGATTTGCTCCCCCATGCTGAGGTTGCTTTTAACAGTGCTGTGCATCGCAGTACTGGACAGTCTCCTTTTTTGATTAACTATGGTTTTGAGCCCAAGCTGCTCCCTGCTCTGCCAACAGAGAAGACTGACCCTGTTCCAGTGACTCAGTGGGCTGATAAGGTCAGGGGGGCTTGGCCGGTGATCACTAAAGCCTTACAGGAGGCCAAGCGTCAATACAAAAAATATGCTGACAAGAAACGTGCTGATGGTTGGGACATTAAACCTGGGGACATGGCTTATCTTTCTACAAAGAATCTAAAATCCAGGTTTCCTTCAAAAAAATTAGGCCCTAAGTTCATAGGCCCTTTCCCAGTTAAGAGACTTGTTAATGATGTCACTGCTGAACTCCTTCTTCCCAAATCCTATCGTCAGCTTCATCCAGTTTTTCATTTTAGGTTGCTGAAACCAGATCGCAGCACAGGTCATTGGAAGAAGGCTGACCCACCACCTCTCCCTCTGATGATTGACGGACAGCAACATTTTGAAGTTTCAAAGATTTTAGACTGTCGATTTCACAACGGCAAGCTCCAGTATCTTGTTCGCTGGAAACATTTTCCTACAGATCATGATGAATGGGTTTCTGTTGCTCATGTTAATGTGCCTGATTTGGTGGTGCATTTTCATGTTCAATATCCTGATAAGCCCTCTCTTTCTTCTGTAACTTGATTTCTTGC